GTTCCCGCGCTCCCCCCCCTTCTCTGCCTGCCCGCCCTGAGGCGACGCCGAGGGCATCGGCCCGGCCTCAAACCCGTCTGTCCACCTCCACAGGTCCCCATCACGCTGGGCGTCTTCCTTAACTCCTACTACGATGTGAAGTTCAACGTCCTCGGGATCGTGTTCGCCACCTTGGGTGTCTTGGTGACCTCCCTCTACCAAGTGGTGGGTAATGGCATGGGGGGAGGAAAGGAGAAGGGGAGGGAGTGTTGTGGTGATTGGGCTTCAAGATGCTGTCCCTTGGTTAGGTCACCTTTAAACAGTCCCCTGCCTTCCAGCAAACCCTTCATACTTTGTTGTTTAGCCAGTAAACCCCAAACAACTCGTGATAATCCACCACAACCTCTGGTAAATTGTTTTAAGGAATACATCGTCCTTGCTGCTAAAAACGGAGTTGTCATCTTTAACATGGTCATGAGCATATTTTCAAGGGGCAAATTGCTTCATCGGTAAAACTCTGTTTCTCTAGAGAGCACAGATTTTCTCGTTGCAGAAGCAAGCACCTTCCATTTGAGCCTTTCCCTAGAAAGGACATTTTCCAGTTCTTCAGTTTCGACTATACACAGACTTAAGGAGCTTTTGTAGAGGGCACACGAATATAGATGCACAATATAACCGTTCTGGCTGATTGAAAAGAAGGGTATGTCCAAGGACTACCTTAGCCCTTTCCTCTCTGAATGTACTAAGAGCTCACGACTATAGTTAGTTACCAGCAATGACTGTAAAAGCCTCCTAAATTAGAGTCCCCTGTCATGTTGATGTGATAGCCACCACCAATTTAAATGTGAATTTCTTTGTAAGAAATTTCTGTGTACTGTGCTTCCAAAAGATGTGAGAGTCTTTGACCTATAGTGTGCAAGATAATAAGTAATGGTCTCATGTCCTGTTTTGGGGCAGCAGGAGGAGAGGGGTGCTGCATGATAACTCTAAGTGATGGTGTGTGCACTGGAGAATTTACAGTCCCTGAGTGAAATTACTCTGTCATTTTAAGTTTATATCCGTGTTATAAATTAATGTGATTTAGGAAGTATTAAACGTTCATCAGTATGATATAAAGAGGCATCTTTTTGGCTGTAACGTCTATCTTCATAACCATGGGTAACTAAGGTTGTCTCTTAAAGCATGCTACACTGAAAATCCCAAGTTCTAGTCAATTATAGTCAGTATATAAATGAAAGCCAGTAAAATAGGAATAAACTGGCAAAAGAAAGCCAAACGTTTACTGACTTTGTTAGCTTGCATGTGGAGAAAAACTAGAAGAAAGGAACAAGGGCAGATCTCTGCTTAGGCAAAGGTACTCTGCTCAATCATAGACAGGGTCTGGAATTTGCCTTGGGAATGAAAGGGGGCTGGCATTTTCTTCACAGCTGTGCTACTTCGTTCTTCCTCAAGTATAATACTTGACCCCCAGGCCATGGGAAAAGGAAGATTTAGGCACTGGGGTGGGGGTGTTTCACTGCCCCTGCATTTGACTTTTCTCCTTACCTGGCTTGTGTACTCACAGGAGACAAACACATGGGCCACCAGTTAGGCAAAGGGAGATGATGCTCAACAGTCCATTTGTGTAGTGGTATCCACATGAGACTCCCTCTGAGTTAGTAGCCAGTTTGCTTTTGCTCAAGTTTTCAATTTATGATTTTTATTTTCCTCATGTTTAACAGGCTTTCTCTTTTGGTTTTAGTGGGTGGGAGCTAAGCAGCATGAGTTGCAGGTAAACTCTATGCAGTTGCTGTACTATCAGGCACCAATGTCCTCAGCTATGTTGTTGTTCATCATACCCTTCTTTGAGCCAGTCTTTGGAGAAGGGGGAATATTTGGGCCCTGGACACTTTCCGCTGTGGTAAGGCTTTTATTGACTTTATTTAAATAAATCATCATCACTGATGTAGATAAATTTCATAGTAAGATTGGTTTCTTCGTGAAGCAGATTTTTGTACAGTCATTGACTATGATGAGGTGAGAGGGACATGTTCAAGAGATAAACCCCCCCTGTTGTGTCTGCCTCGTTTCCTTCTAGAGGAGTCTGTAATTTGATTTACCTCCTTATTCTTGTTTCTGTTTAGAGGGCATCTGAACAACAGGAAAGTCTGACAAAATCTAGAAGCTTCCTCTAGTGTATTAAATTAAAAATATATGTGGCCAATTTCCTGTTCTTACTGTCCACTCAGAAAGGAGATAAGCACGTTCCTTTCTGACACTCTCGACTCCTCTCCTGCGGGAGGATGCCAGCATTGGTTGTTCTGTAGGATTGCTGGTTTATTTTCACCAAGAAGGCTATTATTTGTCTTTATATCCTTCTGTCCAAAGAGAAGCCAGTGGCATAATCTTACCACTGCTGATCATGCCGCTCGGTGCTGGGTCATTTCTCAAAGCACTGCAGTTTATGAGAGGAATAGCAACTACTTACAATAATAAAATAGGATATTTTTCCAAAATTGTTTTTGTTGCAACCATAAATAAGACTTTGAGACAAAGGTAAAGAATACAACTTCTACATGTATGAGTAGCCAGATTTTCCAAATCATTCTTAAATGTTCACCGAAAGTAAAGGAGAAAAGCTTGTGGTTATATCAGTGTATATTTATGGACTTCATACCGTGAGCTACTCATACGCCTCATCAGTGCCTGTACTGGTTTGAAGCTCTGTCTATTCTTGTTCTCCATATGTTTTTCTTGCCTGATGCTTTGCCTTTGAAAGTGAAGGAAACTAAATAATAATGATCTAGAATGTATCTACAAGTGGCCCAAAGCGTGTCAGATTACTGATTGTGTCCATTAATCCACAGATAATGGTACTGCTGTCTGGGATAATAGCCTTTATGGTAAACTTGTCCATTTACTGGATCATTGGAAATACGTCACCTGTCACGTATCCTTTGCAACATTCGTCGTTTATCCTGTTTCCAGATGATTTCTGCTGGTGTTCACTTGGTCTGATTTACTGTGGGAAAGCCATTTGGTAACCTGCCTGCTTTATCTGAAATGATGAAGCTGGAAGAATGTGTTAATGCTTTAGAATCATAGAATCATTAAGGTTGAAAAAGACCTCTAAGTTCATCAGGTCCAACCATTAAACCAACACTACCATGACCACTAAACCATGTCCTGAAGTACCACGTCCACGTGGTTTTCAAACACATCCAGGGCTGGTGACTCCACCACCTCCCTGGGCAGCCTGTTCCAGGGCCTCACCACTCTTTCAGTAAAGGAATTCTTCCTGATAAGTAATCGAAACCTCCCCTGGTGCAACTTAAGCCCATTTTCTCTCATCCTATTGCTAGTTACTTGGGAGAAGAGACCAACTCCCACCTTACTGCAGCCTCCTTTCAGGTAGTTGTAGAAAGCAAGAAGGTCTCCCCAGCCTCCTCCAGACTAAACAATCCCAGTTCCCTGAGCCACTCCTCCATAAAACTCCTCAAGTTTTAGTGTGTTTTATATCTTTGTTCTGGGTTTGTACAGCCAATGGTGGTTAACTTACTGACCTTACCTTCATACCTACAAGGAATATTTATCCACACTTTGACTACCTTGAGGAAGTGTTGGCATGTCAGTTAGTTTGTAGTGTTCGATGGGCGAGAGGCTTCACGTGGAGGTGAATTCTCCTAGCCACAGAGATGTGAGAAAGCTGTGTGAGTTGAAGTCAATGTGACGCATCACGGCGTGCTTAGGATGTAATTTGTGAAGTTCCCAAGTGTTTCCTTTTAAAAACAAAACAAACAAACACAAAGGGGAAAAAAAAAAAAAAAGGCAAACCCTTTTCTTTGCTGTTATCCTTAACAGATGTCTAGGTATAACATGTTTGGACATTTCAAGTTCTGCATTACCCTCCTGGGAGGGTGCCTCTTATTTAAGGATCCACTGTCTGTTAATCAAGGCCTTGGGATTCTGTGCACATTGTTGGGCATTTTAGCTTACACTCACTTCAAGCTGAGCGAGCAGGAAAGCAATAAGAGTAAATTGGTTCAGCGTCCATAAAGCAAGAGTTTCTGGAGATTAATAATATTGTGAAGGAAAACAAGTCTTTAAATATGCATTGGTTCTAGAATGCACAAAATTGCCTCGTTCATTTAGATCTATGGTTTTAGTTTAACTACCAGGATCATTATTCTGTAACTAAAGTAAATGAACTGAATTATGTAAAATGCTGGGATTTTGCCATCTCAGTCCATCCTGTTGTTTTCATTAAGTCTAAATGGTAACTTAAAAGAGAAAAAGGCACACTTCAAATTGCTGTGGAAATTGTACTGCAGTAATTATATTTTTTGCATACCAAATGAGATCATGATGGCTACAGTTATAATACAGAGAGAGAAAGAAAAGGAATCATGTCTTTGTGATCACACCAGTATTGCTTCTGTGAAGAAACTTGGAGGCACTTTTATGCAGATGTTCTGGTCCATAGGGTTGCTTCCTCCTTTTTGTCTGGTCAGCGATGAAGAGGAACGGTACTTTCTTCAGTAATATAAAAAAGGGCCACAAAGCTCATTCCTGTTTCTTGTATGATTCCTCATTTATGTTGGGCTTCAACACACTGAAAGATTTTTGGCTGAAGAAAGCAGACAAAATTCAAAGTGGAGAGAGACTAGAGAAGACATCGGAAAACTTGAAGCCCCAGGCCAAGCTACAGAACAGTAGGAAGTCAGATCTAAACACTTCATCTTAAATTTTTCTTTTGGTCCATAAGGACAATAATGAAGTCATTAATGTTCTAGAAAATTCTTTTTACTGCTTTATAATCTTCTCTATGCCAGAACCAAGGCTTTATGTGAGATCTTGTAAATACTCATGAGCATAATAAAACCTCTCATTTTGTTTTAATAACCAAATATTTTGCAGCCCTTGCACGCAGACACCCTGGTTAAAAATACTTTTAGAGACATCTTTGGAAAGGTCGCCATCTGTAATGGGTGTGAAGTTTGCTTGGTTCTCTCTCCTGCCTTCAGCCCCACCTCACTCTCTCCTGCATCTTGCCCCAGGAGCCACCTTTGGTAGGATCTGCAGATCTGTCTGTTGCCCTCATTTTGGGGGCAGGCCCAGGGGCTCTCCGGGCAGCACTGGGATCAGACAGTCCCCAGAAATGTACCAGAATGACTGAAGAGTAAGGTGGGACCTACTTCTGCTCTAATTCAGGAATTGCTTGGAAAATTATTTTATGACAGCATCAAGCACTGATTTGGACAACATGGAAGGAAGAAGTTGAGTGCTGTTCTATTTTAAAAAAGAAAGAAAAAATAACTGCTTTCAGTAAATCTGGCGAGGAGAACATATGTTCGCTAGAGTTGCAGGGCTAGAATTTATTTGCAGTATCTTAATCCTTACATTTTGGGGGTTATTTTATCTTCATCTACCTCTAGCAAATTTAAAGAATTACGTGAAAGAAAACAGGTATTTAAGTTTTACAACTACTGACAGAAATGATATTTAGTTCCTCTAAGCTTTTTACAATGTGGGCGTGTCCTTCTGTAGGAAACAATGCAGATCTTCTCAAGCTTGTAAATTATTTATTCTGATACAGAGTTCTTGGTTCAAGAAAAAGTTATTTCTCTGTGTAACCACCTGTTTACACCATAATGCTCTCTTATCATTTCAGAGTTAGTAATACCTGAATAATTTTACATCTTTACTAACCGTGTCTTAGACATTGTACTGGTCCAAGGACAGTTTTTTGTATATGGTTTTTATAAATCTATATAATGAGTTTAGAAACACACCCTGGGCTACTGAAAGATGTGTTCGGACAGTCAGCCTCTGGAGGCATGTCCTTCAGTAGATACACCAAGAAGGCCATTTGCATTAATTTGTGCTATGCACAAGTTCTTCCTAAATGTAGATAGACTGGAAAGACTCTTACAGCTCGAAAACAACAACAGAATTAGAAGCCTGCATGACAACAATATTTGGGATGAGACTGATGCAAATACCTATAAAGTGGTAGAATGAACAAAAGAACCGTGTCTGAAAATACAGAAGACTCCTTGAGGAGAGGAGGAGATCTGCAAGAGGAGGGTTAACAATGTCATTAAAACAGTACATCATAAACAGTCTGTTACTGGAGCGTGTAAATCATGGAAGTTACTGAAGTGATGTGATTTTTTTTTCATGCATTCAAGAGGTCTCCTTTGAGGTTTACCTGCTGTATCTTAACAAATAAAGTGTCTTGAGCTTTGTCATATGGTTCAAAATATTAAATCCAGGAGGCTTATGTAAACCATGGGATAAATCGATCTTTGTGTGTATTGTTTCTTTGGATACCACGTGTAGGGTGGGAATAAATCTTCAGTCACTTGGCTGATTCCTGCTTATTGCAGGGGAGAACATTTGTTCTTGTCTTTTTTCATCTTCTGCTTGAAGTGCATACACTTTGGGGGTCTAGGCGTAAGATAGAATGGTGCTGTCTATTTCTGTATGTGTAAATAATTCAAGGAGTTTGTGTGTATTGGGGCAGAACTCATGACACAAATGATGAAACTTCTGAGGTAAAATTGGAGTCTTATAAAAATTCCTGATACTTGGTGGGAAACCTGCTTAATTATGTTTTTTACTATGTCACTTTAATATGTTTTCCTGATAATTATATGTGTTTCATTCTGGTTTGGTTTTCCTGCAAGAGAAATCAGACACCTGGCATCTTAAACATTACGTCGTCATCACTCTGTGTGTGCCCTCACAATTGGAGCTGTACTGTATGAACCCTGGTGTTCACTTTCTGTTTTAACTCATATTCTACATGTGATGAAACCGTGGTAACAAGGTGGACCTTGGTCCTTTTTTGCCATAGCATGCTTTGCTGCTTATACTGGCATTCGTTAGTTTAAAAAGCTTCTCTTGATGTAGTTCCAGTGGAGAAGGGAGCGTAGATACTGTGGTGGCATTTAAAAACAGAGCAGATCCAGATGATTCTGATTAAAGTATGAATGACTGATGGTGTTACCTTTGCTAGCCTCCCTGAAAACACTTTACAACAACCTACACAAGGTGTCCTTATTTCCCCCAGAGGAATAGGAAGTGCACCTTCACTTCAGAGATACTCGGAGCAAAGCTTCGTGTTACCTTTAACTCGGGTAACTCGGCACTCGTTTGACAGATGTTGCATCTGATTTTGTACAGCTTGCTAAGTCCTCGCAGGCTCTGGGGGCACTGTGCCAGAGGAGTTTTCCTGTTGGTGGGTGAAGAGCTGCTCTCCGGCCAGAGGCTGAAGCTCCCGCACGTGTATGAAAGGGAGGCTTGTCTGGCAGAGGTCTGCCTTCCAGACAGAGCTGCCATTCAGCACCGCTGCGTCCTTGCTCTGTCTCACTTCCTGAAATGGATGCCCAGTGACGGCCCAGGGCTAAAGCAACATAAAAGCCTTGTGTAGGCTACCCAGAGTTTTTACTAAACTTTTTAAATACCATTAGTAGTAGTCAATGCTGGTTAAGTATCAAAGTAAAAAATTCACTTTTGTCATGTCTTGTATAATAGCAACTTCTGGAGTACAAATGATGCCTAACCCATGTCTACTTTGTCATGTCTTCTGCAAACTCCATCAAAAGGTAACGATAGATTTTGTAACTAGTTCTGTATATTTATGCAGCTTGGCTGCTGAGAAGGGGCTTGCTCTGGAGCAATACCATGGTGCTAAACACTGGCAGGCTGGTCATTGCTTGGCAGTGACTCAGAGACACCTAGCCTGAAATTCACCAACGGGCCTAGGAAAGGAAAAAGGAGGTTCACCCACAGGACACACAGCTTTTTACCTTCTTGCTTTTAACAACAGTTTAAAGGAATTGAGAGAGCAGGCCTTAGCATCCTTCAAATCGCCTTTCACAGTAAGATTTTTCTCCCAAGATGTCCATTTTGCTCCTAGTTACGTAGTTGGTGTCTTATGTGGATTTTAAAAGAAGTGGAGTTTGGACTGCAGACTTGCAGGTGTTTGCTTGTGTTAGGGGTTTTTTCCTCTTAAAATTTTATTTTATCCATTTACAACCTAACATCCGTGTTGAATGAGAAAACAAAAGAACATTGAAAAAAAGGTAGACTGGATATATAGTGAAGGTGATGTTTTGTTTTGCACAAGAATTTCACTCTTCTAACTAACGATGCATCTCGTTCTGTTTGCCTCCTGTGCTGCTGTGAGGAGGCAGAGGCAGCAGAGCACCAGCTTTCTGCTCCACACAAAGGCCCGCTCTGCCTGCTGGCGCTCCCACTCTCCTCGCCATCCTAGCCTGCCATTTGACAGCTCAGTTGCTGCAGATGACTGGGATGTCAGCTGCAGAAGGTTAGGAACATGAAGCGAAAAACTCAGCAGGAGCCAATGTAATCTTAGGTCATGAGAAATCCTGTTGTAAGACATGGAGATGTCTTACCAAGAGACCTGTGTGAAGCAGCGGGGAGAGGTGTGGGTTTATCTCCAGGCAGGCATCGCAAAGAATGCAAGCACTGAATTGTCTGAATTCCTGCCATGCTGCAGTAGTTGACAAATTTAGCTTAAGCTAGCTTTTAATAATACAAAAATTGAATATACATGCCATGCAAAAAAAAAAAAACCATAGTTGGATTCAGACAGTATAAAGTCTTTGCCAGACTCGTCCCACAGCGATGGTTAACCTTCCTGAGAGAAGGGAGCTCTTGTTCCGCCTCCCCTTTGCCCAGGGAAGCTGGGCTCTGCAAAGGAGGGTTAGTGTTCCCAAAAGCTGCCCTGCTTTTTTTCAACCACCTCCCCCTACGAGCTGGTCTCACTGAAGTTACTGTTTCTGCTTTCATCTAACTGACCTGGATCATGCTCCTATAATCTTCCAGTAGCTGAAAGGTCTAATAGACCTTGGGGACCAGAACATGCTCCATCACCTAATTGCAGTGCCCCATAAGCCCTGCCATAGGGGATCCAGCCCAAACAGCTCTAGGTACAATCTGGCAGTACAAGGACTAAAGAAAGGGGGAATGTGATCCCTTTTCATTGCCTTAGTTGCAAGGCACTAACTAATCCTTTCAAACTTTAGTCTTTGTCTTTTCCCCTTAGTAAATTCATAAGAAACCTCCCTTTCCTGCTTCAGTCTGCCCTTTCTGGATAAAGTATAATTATGCCATATTTTAGGGAATTTGTAATGGAGACAGAAATTGTATTCACTATGCACAGAAATATATTGACCTCAACTAGTGTTGAATTTTTGTACATCAGAACCCTTGACTTCCTTCCAATTCAGAAAAAAAAAAAAAAAACCCAC